AGTAAATCAATTGTGAAAATGTTTGCCTAAAACAAAAAAAATTGTGAAAATGAAGTTAAGGAATTATAAAAATTTCAACCATAAAAATTAATCTTTTTGTTTTTTTTAAGGGTTAATTAGTAGAATATCACTTTTGAAAAAAATAATTAGATAAATAACATATCCAAAAATATTTATAGGTAAGTAACACAGAGAATGAAAAATATGACGAAAATGCTTCTATAACTGTAATTAAGGTAAATTATAAAACAAAACAAAAAATCTTTAAAAATCTTTTCTTTGTCTCAACGCTGAAAAATTGCTCTTAAGTTGTATCTTTGAAAAAATATATCTGATGGTCTGAAAAAAAAATTAGGTCAGAAGATGACAAAAAACAAAGATGAAAAAAAAACAAATATGAACAACTATTTATTTAATAACATAGTTAACTATTTTCAAAATTACATATTCAATTGATCTCATAACATAGTTAAATACATCATATTGTTTGTAATTATCTAAAAAAATAATTAACTATTTACAGAAAATAGATACCAATTTTAAAAGAGAAATTTCAAAAAATGCCACTTTTCAAATGCCATTTTACAAAAATGTCACACTTTTGAAATCTTTACAAAAATGCCACTTTTTCAAAATTATTTTTTCTTTATATTATTTATGTTTGGGTTAATTATGTTCTATTAGGGTTTAGTTTTGAGTGTTTAGGGGGTTTTAGGTGTCAAAACATTTTTTAGGGTTTAGAATTTTAAGATATATGCTTTATAAATTTATAATTAGTGGCATTTTTGTAAATGGACACCCCTAAATGGCATTCTTGCAAATGTGCACACAAAAAGTGGCATTTTTGTAATTGCCCCATTTTAAAATATAGTTCACTATTTTCACAAAATAGTATCCAATTTTAAAATATAGTTAACTATTTCATATCATAGTTATCTACTATACTGATTTCATGACATAGTTGACTACATGAAAATGATGTGGTAATAGTACTTATTTAAACAAAATATAATTGACTACGTTCAGAACATAAGTTGATAGGTTTTTACAATATAAATCTTTAGTTGAGGAGATTTTCATTAAAATAATTAGTTGAAAGTTAACCCAATGTAGAGAAATTTCAAAAAATGCCACTTTTCAAGTGTTATTTTACAAAAATACCACACTTTTGAAATCTTTACAAAAATGCCACTTTTTCAAAATTATTTTTTTTAATATTATTTATGTTTGGGTTAATTATGTTCTATTATGGTTTAGTTACGAGGGTTTAGAGGAATTTAGGGGTCAAAAAATTTTTTAGTGTTTAAAATTTTTAGATATAGGGTTTAAAAGTTTATAATTAGTGGCATTTTTGCAAATAAACACAGTGGCATTTTTGCAAATGTGCACATAAAAAGTGGTATTTTTGTAATTTTCCCTAAAATGTATATGTTAATAATTAAATATTTTTTTCATTTCATTGTTTGGTCGATGTAGAGTTGTATATATAATTTTGCTAACCCTTTCAGATCTTCGAGTTTGACTCATGTTCCTTAATGAACAGAAATCGTCGTAGATAGTATTAAATTTTTATCCTATGTATCATTGTTATCATGTAATAGAAGTTTTAGTAAAATTTAAATTTGATAGTTGATTCTTTTGTTTGACATATTTACAATTTATTATGAGAAATTTCAAAAAATGCCACTTTTCAAGTGCCACTTTACAAAAATGCCACATTTTTGAAATCTTTACAAAAATGCCACTTTTTTAAAATTATTTTTTCTTTATATTATTTATGTTTGGGTTAATTATGTTCTATTAGGGTTTAGTTTTGAGTGTTTAGGGGGTTTTAGATGTCAAAACATTTTTTAGGATTTAGAATTTTAAGATATATGTTTTATAAATCTATAATTAGTGGCATTTTTNTAANTNNACACCCCTAAGTGGCATTCTTGCAAATGTGCACACAAAAAGTGGCATTTTTGTAATTGTCCCATTTATTATCACTTCCATAATTTATATTCGACTTTTGTGTTCATAAATTTTAAGGTATAAAAATAAATTAAATTGCTAAAACAATTTTTGAGAAGAGTGTGTGAATGCTGAAACAGTCATTGATAAGAGTGTTTCTATAGCCTGAATCCAAATTGAAAAACCACAAGTATATTTTAGTCATATGATATCCAATTTAATTTAGAATCAAAAGTTTTAATGCCAAAATATTGTATAAAACTCATGCCAAATCAAACATTTTAAATCCAAGTACTAGAACTAAGATTTAAAATTAAGAAAATTGCTAAAATATGCCACATTGAATTATATAATGTCTCAATACACCTTTGTCAATTTTTACCACTTTTTGCCCATATTACCTGATGTATTGCGTTTTTGACACATTCTAACCAATATTTTCAAAGGTTTTTCGAGTCCTTTCTATGTCTGTAGAGTCTTTTCAGGTAAAAACACGTTTGGATGAAGTTTAAGGCAAATGAGCAATGAATGAAAGCAAATATGCAGAAAATGGTCAAAAGTTTGGCACTCATTGAAACATTTTCCACCAATGGATCGACCTGAAAATTTTACATGAGCTAAAGCTTTGAGTTATCTTTTATCTGGAAGTTATTTGAAGTTATTCAACAGTGAGATCGAAAGTTATGCAAGTTTTAGTGAAGACATGTCATTCTGGCGAGCAAAAGAAGCAAGTGCAGAAAAGATGATTAGATCGATCGATCCAACCTGCCAAAAAGCTGTCGTAAGTTTTGTGATCGACCAACGGAGCAAGATCAACCATTTCATGGTTCAGATCGATCGATCTTCCTTAGGGATCGATCGATCCCTTTATAAAACCGG